TGAGGGTAAAGGGGATCAACTATATGGTGATGGAAAGAGAACTGACTCTGGGTGGTGAACACACAATGTGATATATACATGATGTATTACAGAATTGTACACCTGAAACCTATGTGACTTTGCTAACAATTGTCACCCCAATAAACTTTAATTTCAAAAAAGAATGCTACAAAAATATCCATGTAAAACGTCAGTCTCATCTGGTGTGGTGATGATGTGTTATTGAGTTAGTGATAGATAGCATTGCATTCTTTGGCCAATCAAAAAAGAAAGCAAACGTTTACTTAAAAGGTTTTAATATTTTATATTTTATCACTCTAATGTGTCATCGAAATGCAGTTTTGTAATAGTTTCAGTGAGATATAATTCACATGCCACATACTTCATCCATTTAATGTGATAATTCAATGGTTTTAGGGATATCCATAGTTATAGAAGTCATCACCACAATCAAGTTTAGAAGATTTTTATCATCCCAGAAAGAAACTCTACACCCATTAGCAATCACTCCTCATTCCCCCTCCCCACTGCTGCTGGCAACCACTTTGGGTCTCCCTAGATCCACCTATTCTGGACATTCCATATACAGCAATACATTGGTTTGCGAGCATAATTCATTCTGGAAACAAACTACTCATATTGCAAGACATCGCTTGTTTGCTATGCTAAAATGTATTAGAAACATTTGCTCATCTTGTGAAACACTCGCAAACCACGTTACTCACAATCCAAGATTTTACTGTAAATGGTAATACATGTCCTTTCGGGTCTGTTTTCTTTCACCTAGCATAATGTTTTCAAGTGCCTTCCATGTTGTAGCACGTATCAGTACTTGATTCCTTTTTATTGCCAAATAATATCCCATTGTATGGCTATACCCCAAACTGTTTATCCACTCATCATTGATAAACATGTGAGTTGTTTGTTTGGGGCTATTATGAATAATGCTGCTGTGAACATTTGTGTACAAATTTTTTTTTTTAAGATTTTTATTGGGGAATTAGGGGGATGGGAATAGCGCTGGGGAATTGGGGAAGGGGAACAGACAAGTAGCTATCATTTTGTTCTTCAGTCTAGTTGTGGAGGACATTGCTTCACTGGCCCAAGTTGGCACCATCATTGTGCTCTTCCCGGACGAGGCAGATCAGTCCCCGGCTTCTGGATGGCCACTCACAGCAGCTTGAGGGCTGCTCACGCTGGCTGCTGGCTACACACGGTAGCCCATGGCAACCCACTGCCACAGGGGCTGCAGCCTACGTCATTGCCAGGGACTCACGGCAGCCTAGCTCCAGGTCGAGCTGTTGTTCAGCATCTTAGCTGTAGAGGGCAGTGTCACTGGCCCTCATATGTGGGATCCGAACCGGGGCCCTCTNGTCCCAAGCCAGTTCTTAACGATCGCACCACTCGGCCGGCCCCTGTGTACAAATTTTTATGTGGACATGTTTTCCTTTCTCTTAGAAAGAAAAAAAAAAAAAAATATATATATATATATATATATATATATATATATATATATATATATATATATGTATGTATCTGGCAGTATAATTGATGGGTCATATGGTAACTCCATGTTTAATTTTTGAGGAAATTCCAAAATGGCTACATCATTTTACCTTTCCACCAGCAGTGTACAAGGGTTCCCATTTACCCACATCCTTGTCAACACTTGTTACTATCTGTCTTTTTAAATTATAGCCAACCTGGGAGTGTGAAGTGATATCCAAATGCATTTTTTAGATGTAAAAACATAAAAATACATTGGGCAGGAAGTACAATATTTTATGACAAGGGAAAGCATGAACCGATTAGGAAAAGTATTTTGTGGTCAGGCTGGAAAAGGAAGCAGGAGATGTTTTTAAGTCTGTTACTCAATTTCATGTCCTTAGGCAACCAACTACCCTATCCAAAGTGTTAGGGTTATGGAGCCAGCCCTCCATTTCACATCTGGAGCTTATAATAATCATAACTACTAATCTGGGTTTATTGATTTATTTTACAATGTTCCTTTCCATGTTATATCCCATTGGATCCAACACCACAAGCCCTATGTGAAAGGATATTATTCTCATTCTGCAGCTCAGGGCACTGAGACCCAGAGCAGCTAACTGACTTGCTCCCCAAAAAGGTAGTTAAAAATAAATACATATATACATAAACATTAAATAAATAAAATTCACAGAGCTGGGCCTGGAAGCCAAATTTTCTTATTTCAAGTCCCAATTGTTGGTTTCCTCTTTCCTCGTTACATTAATTTACCTAATCTCTGGGGACCCAGAAAGTAATGGAAAAGCATGACAAAGCAGAGAAAAATGTCTGTGTGTGTGTGTGTGTGTGTGTGTGTGTGTGTGTGTGTGTGTGAAGCAATTAGAGACAGGAGGCCTGCACATCACAAAGTCCCCACAATCAGATTGGGAGAGAACAGCTAAGGATGCAAAAACATGTTGTGACAGGGACAGTAAGGATGGCTGCATGCCCACTTCTTTATAAGAGGTTCCTGCAGTAATGAAGAAGCCCAGGGCATTAGGCCACTTAAGTCCCTAAATTCTGAATATTATATTATCTGTCCTTACAGTCAGTATGAATAATTACATACACTAGTCACTCAAATATTTATTGAGTAATTATTATATGCTAGGCACAGTGCTAAGATTATTGGGATCTAAAAAAACCCCAATGATTACAATTTTCCAAAGTAAAATCAAATAGCTAACATGTACTCAGCCTTTCGTATATAGCATCTCATTTAATCCTCACAACATTCCTGCAAGAGAAGTGGAAACTGAGGCACAAAGAAGTTGAGTAAATTGTCGCAAAGCCACAGAACTAATAAAAATGGTGGAGGCAGCATATGAACCCAAGCAGCCTAGCTCTATACCATGTTGTCAATCACCACCCAATCCTTCCTGCTGGATCTTGTTCAGCTGGAAGTTGCATGTGGTGACACACAGAGATTAATAATACTAATTAATTCCAGGAACCATTTGTTGATTGCTCATTAATATCTGGATCCCAGGGGCAAATTCTCACAAGCTCATGAAGAACTTATCTTCATTACCATTTTGCAGAGGAGGAAACAGTTTCAGAGAATTGCATGGACGCGTCCAAGGTCACAGAGCTATAATAGCTAATGCTATCATGGTGCTTACTATATACCAGGCACTGTTCTAAAGCATTAACTCATGTAATCCTCATAACACTATGAGGTAGGTTCCATAGTTACCCATCCTCCTTTAGCTAAGAAACTTGTCTGAGGTCCCACACTAATAGGTGGCAAACCCAGAATTCACTCTAGTTTAAATCCTTGTGCAAACAAAGTAATGTTGCCTTTTTGCTACAAAGTTGCTGAGTCGAAATTCAAACCCAGATCTAACTCTTGGGTGAGATAGAACCCTCTGTCCTCTGTCGTCTTAACCACATGCTAAGCATGGTTCTCAAAACCGCTGTGGTGTAAAAGGGTGCTCAAGCAGAAGGAACAAAAGCTCTGGGGAACCCACGAGAAGGAGCATTTAAGGTACCTCTGGAAGGGGAAACTGCTTACTGCACAAAGACAGGCACCATATAATTTATTATTTTAAAGGAAATGAAAAGTACTCAATTGAGGACTTTGAAAAAGACAATATATTATAGTAACGAGGACCAAGTAAATTATTAAAAAGAAAGTGTTTCGGATTTAATCATTAAAGCTTATTGTATTTTCTCTTTTTTTCCAGTTAGAAAGTACTCTTGATGAAGGAAACAAGTTTTTATTCCCTTTAATTTAGCTACATATTAAAAAATCATCAAGGACTAGAAATGTGCGATTTGCCTTTGGTAACATTAAACTCAATTAATTCCGACTTCCAGTATTTACTTCCTTAATCTAAGTGCTCTACGCAGGGTGGTTACCAAACCTTAGGGATCTTTGCAAGATTCTCTCCTTGAGATCCTGAAACACACAGCATTTAGAAATCACAATGAGCCTGAAGATTCAGGTCAAGAACTAGAAGGAACCGCTGTGCGCGTTGTTCCCGAGGGGCGAGGACAGGCAGACAAGTTGTGGCTCAAATACGCAGAGCCAGGTCTTTCTCTGGCAAACTGATTTATGACCACAAGAAGGGCAGCTGCGGAACCGGTCAGACCACAAGTACAATTCTCAAACAAGAATCCAGAGCGACCTGGACGGAATGGGAATCGTAAGGGTTCTAGAGGTCACTCCCTGTCCTGGGCGGGGTGAGACCCGTCAAGTCCTCATTCTTGCAGCAGCCCGGACCGATGGGCTCTGCAGCCCAAAATGTGTGCGCTGGGGTTGTTGACACAGCAGCCCAGCAGCGGGACAAGGTACCTCCACGCCCCCTTGCGGACCCAAATGACGATTGACGAGGATGTGCCTAGTTAGTGATAGGTACAATGTTTCAAAAATGTTCTCTCGGTTTAGCCCTCACAATAACCCTTCAAGAGAGTTGCGGTGCTCGGCCCCATTTTACAGATGCAAGTGTTGAAGGTCAGAGAAGTGAAGCAAGACTTGCCAGCGAAAAAAACAAAACCTCAAGTGAAGGCGATCTTTGGGGTTGTTTCTTTTATCTAGGAGTAAAGAGGTGGGGAATGCGGCGGGCTCGGGGCCCCACACCGATCCCTGTGGTTCTCTGGGAGGATTAGGAGCCGGCTGTCAGCCCCGAGGCCTGGCAGCGCCCGGGTGCCTGGGCAGAGGGAGCGCGCACGGTGGGTGCCAGCGCGTCGGCCGGTGCAGGGCTGCAGCAGCGCGGCTAAGGCGCAGCGCGCACCATCCGCTCGCTTGCGTCCGCCTGGGGAGCCCCGCGCCGGTCCCGGGTCTGCAGGGCTACGGGCTGCAGCAGCCAGTCAGGAACACCACGCGGACTGTCCACGCGCCCGCAGCCGGCCCGGAGCCCCGCGCGAGTCGCAAGCCCCAAGCCACCCCACGGCGCGCGTGCGCGCGGGAATGCTGCGGACACGGGCTGGCAGTGCCACCGCGAGCCCACCGTCCCTGCCCCACGCCTTACCGTAGCTGCTCCCCGGTGACCAGGACCTCAGCCATGCGCTCCAGCTCCCTTTGCTGCGCCCCGCCACTACCGCTGGGGCTGCTGTCGCTGCCACCACTGCCAGCGTTGCCACCCTCCATGCTCGGGGCCGTGCCGCTACACTGTCTTTGCTGGCCGCCGTGGGTTTGGATGTTAAATCAGCCTGCCCTCACAGCAGCCTCTCCCTCCATGATTGTTACGGGCAATCCCGTAACTCAGACGCGATTGGCTGGAGAGGAAATCCCTGTGGGTTGGGTTGGCTGAGGAGCTGGGCGCGTCCGCTCCAGGAACTCCAGCTTGAGGGCGTGGCTGGAGCCCCGCGTGTCTGCGGGGCGGGGCCGAGGGAGGAAAATATAAACATTTGGGCGGGGCATCGGTTCTGTGTTTTGTGTGCGGTGGAGATTGAATTAGGTGAGCGCCCCTTCCTTTACCCACAGAGCGCCTGCTGTGGCTCCCTGGGGACTGGGAGGCTACCAGATGAGTATGAAGATATTTTTATTAAACTGTACTTTCCATGCCCCGAATTGCCAGAGAGTAAAAATGATAACAATATAGCTAAATACTGAACATGAAAAATGTACAAGTCACAGCAGGTCATGGAGAAATTAAGCATTTTTCTCGCCCCAACCTCCATCACGAAAGACAGTTTACTTAAGTTATGAGGTAATTAAAGAACGCTGGCCTGGCATCCAGCTCCACGCCTATAATTCCCTACCTAATTGTGCTTACTCCTCAGTTTCCAACTTTACAAAATAAAAATAATTGTGGCTACCACTTGTTGACATCTGCTGCTTTAAAGATGCTTCAGGTAGTTGTGACCTTCCTTAATTATTGCAATAATTCATACAATGGGTATTGTTATAATTTTACACCAGGAATTAGGCTCAGAGAGATGGGGTAACTTGTCCAAGTCAAGCGGCTAATAAGTGCAAGAAGGAAAAATCAAGCCCAGGACATTCTGGCTTCGAAGTTGTGTTCTTAAAAGACTGCCTCTTAAAATGGGAAGATGATGTATTGTTTACCTTACAGGGAATATGGAAGGAATTGTGACTAATGCCAAATAAATACCCTGTTTTTCTGTCTCATGCAGGGTCAGAGTCTGGTCTGCAGGAAAACTGACTAATGCTAATGGCAGAGGTCAGTGTTGTAGTAAAGAGCGATCTGTGTATTGATGTTTTATGCAGTTTGTTACAATATTTGCATATACTGGGTGTGCCAAAAAATGTATACAAATGGACACTTTGGTCAAAGTTGCTCAAGTAGTAGTTCACTGTAATCAGAAGTGTCCCGACATTGATAGTAACCACTTTGAGCACTTCTTGTAATTGCAGGAGTGAAACGTGACTTGTATTCATCTTTTGTTATCAGTATATATTGAGTATTACAATTTTAATACAGTTTTTCTTTCTTAAAATGTGTATACGTTTTTTTGGCACCTTTGTATACAAGTCACTGCACCCTTACAAGTAAATGTAAAACTATTTTTTTAACAATAGCTTGAAAGATGTGATCTTTCAAATGCAGATATCTACTAAAAGTCTATTATACAAATAAAAATGAAAATGAGAGGGCTGTTGAAAACCAACTCCTTTGTATATTTTTTACCAATTCTGCCATTCAAGAGTACTTATACCCATATCTTGCAGGCTCATTGTAATTTATTGTTCTGTCTTGTTGGCATTTTCATTTTTAAAGATCACCGAACATTCTACAACATTCTACAAAATCGCTACTTAAAATTTGCAACAATTCATTGAACACTTATTCTGTGCTTTATGTGGTGCTAAATGCTTTGGTTATATTATTTAATTTATTCTCACAAAAACCCTGAGTTAGATATTCTTAATGTCAATTTACAAATGAAAAAGCTTAGGCATAGAAAAGTGAGGTAATTTGCCCCTATTTCACACCTAGAAAATCAGTTAGACAGCCCTTGCACCCTGCTTCTGCAGATTCCGAAGGCCATGTTCAACCACATTCCAGAAGAACAATTGTCCAACTCCTTCATGAATTCAACAGTAGATATTAGGCAACACTTTTACCAAGAGAAATTATCGAAATTTCTTAACTTTTTTAATAGACTATGGCAGAAATGTAAACCAAGTGACAAAATTTCCAAGTGAATCAGATTCTAAGAGCCTCGTTCTGCATAAAATAAATCATTTAACAGAGGTAGAGATGCCAGACTTAATGACTTCAACAGCTGGCTGTCACTCATGTTTTAATCCTATAACATAGAACATCAAAAGTTTGCATGGGCTTTGTTTACATCAAACATGCCAGTTTCTTTCCTGATCCTGTCATTTACTAACTTTGCAACCCTATGCTAATTACTTCACTTCTCTGGGCCTCAATTTCCTGTTGATAAACAGGAGTAATAATTCCTATCTTTTGGGATATTGTGTGGCTTCAATGAAATAACACTATATAAAGTTTCCATGTACATGACATGTGTTCAATAGCTGTTCTGTTTATGATGCTAGACAAAACACTTTTTCTCAAGTTATCCCCAATTAATTTTTAAAATTATTAGTAGGCCTGCAAAATGAAGAAAAGAGAAGTAGAGACCTGGCCCCCAATAAATCTCTCTTTGATTTAATGGCTTTAAGTTTTTTTGAAAGTGCAGAATGAGAAAGCATTAAATTGTTACACATTCCTCATTATTCATTGTTCAAGCAACACTTTGTTTTATTCAGAAGCTCTACCTACATATGTAAATCTTATTGTTGTGAATGTCTTTGATTTTTTTTTCACCCTTTTAAATCTAGTCATGTTTTCATTTGAATTTTGGCATCTTTCTTTATCTGAAAAACAAATATTAAAAATGTTTTATTGTAAAATAATCTCTTGTGTAATAGTTTCTGATAAAAATGTTTATGATACAAAATTCATCATAAAAGTTTATGATAACAAAACACCTTTTCATAAGAGGAAAAAATTCAAGTCAGGAAAATACCTGATACCACTACTCCAGTGAGAGGGAGAGAGCAGAATTTATTTTCGTGCTTGATGAGTAGGCTGTATGTGTGTGTGTGTGTGTGTGTGTGTGTGTGTGTGTATAAATGTGAACAGGAAATGAGGAACTGATTTGTTATTTTTTTTAACCTTTCTTATGAGACACATCATGCTCCATTGAGTTAGAAGACAGAGACTTTTTCTAACCTAGGGAAAGATTCGTGAACTGACGCCTGAGGATATGTGAGCACTGACGTGGCCCACTGAACTCTGCGGAACAACTGGTCCCAAAATAGACTGTGATCTATAGATATTGATAGACAAGACAAGGAGATTCATCCAGTGTAAAGGTCTTAGAAGGGCTGAAAATTCAAAGACACCTCAGTTGGATTCCTGGCTCCACTGGAGCAAGTCCATTATCTTCTCTGAATTTTCTGTCCTCCTTTGTAAAGTCAAGATCATACCACCAATCTTATTGGGTTGTTGACATTGTTAAATAAAATTTAGTGAGCATACTGTTATGTAATGTGGGAACTATTACACGTGAGCCTTCTCTTCTAGCTCTCCCCACTTACCTGTTTCATGCCTTCTGGCTGTTTTGGTTCTCTGGAATCAGTGCTTCTCAAACTTTTTGGTGGGAAAGGACCAGGTGTGTGTGTGTGTGTGTGGGGGGTCAGTTCATTAAAGACTGACACTTTTGAGACAGGTTAGCTCGCATGTTGGTAGATAAACAGGGAAGTCCCTGGTAGAATAATACAAAGGCATCCATATCTTGGAGATCCATGTTCTGAAATGGCTCATTCGCTCCAGGGCAAAATGTAATTGCGCTCTGGAGGTAAAAGGGTTATTTCGTAAATCCCTTTAGGCTGGGCCACAGAGCAAATCTGATACACAAAATCCATTGGGGCCAACTCCCCTCCCCAAGCATGCAAGAGAAAGTATAAAGGTAAGAGCCTTTTGCCTTAGCCAGCAGGCATCCCAGTTTAGGCTATCATCCCTCGTAAGAGAGCTGTAGTTTCTCTTCAATAAAAACCTTTGCTCCTCTACCTCTCCTTCTCAGTCTGCGTTCTCATTCTTCGGGTACATGAGACCACGATCTCCGGGCACCAGACACCAGGATCCTATCTCACTTTGGCAATATATAATAAAAATGAAATTTAAAAACATACAAAACAGAAGCCCAATTTTTTTTTATTGTTTTGGTCAATAGACACAAAACTGTCAAGTTGCTATAAACATTTCTAAATTATTGTCTCTCATTATAGTATGGTCGGAAAAAGGGGGTTTGTGGAAAGTAACCTCACAGAGTGATCTGATCATAAATTCCAAACTGGGCAGGTCATGGTGGGAGTCACACCCCAGTCATATAATTTCTTTACTTAAAAAGGCTTATCTTTGCCTTAAGCAAGCCCTGTCCATTGTTTCTGTGCATCTAGGTTTAACATACCTTTGAAATGCCCTTTCGGATCCCTCCTTCTAAAGCGTGCAAGAGAGCACACAATCTTACCTATCCTGGAATCCGATTCCCACCTTGCTTTCTCCCACCTTCACGTAATCTTCCTAAATTCCGTCCTTAATCTCAAATGCATAAAAGAAAATGTAAACTGTTGCTCTCCTAAGCATTTATCTCAGCCTGTTGAGATCTTGCTTCCAGGTGTATCCTCTGTTTGGCTCAAATAAGTTTCTATAAACATTTTCTACAGGTTTGGACATTCTTCCATTGATAACTGGTAGTGGTCACCAGTGGGCAGACCATGCTTTGAGTAGTAGTGGTTAAAGGCGAATAGCTGCGTAAAAAGATGAACTTGAATCAAATGTGTAAATGAGTATTGTTAATGATGAAGCTTAATAACATGTTAGCTGTCATTATTGTTGTTGCCTCTTAATATACACCTGTATTATTCCTGCCTCATCTTAAAGATGAATTCAAATCCCCCTCCACCCACCATGATACCATTTTGCATTCCCCCAAGCAGTCTGTTTCTCGTTTCCTTTGAATTTTCATGGTATCAGAACATGTACATTATTATTTTTTTAAAATATAACAAACATCCATTAATTAATTAATTTATTTATTTATTTATAATATTTTTGGGGGGAATTGGGGGAGGGGACCAGTGTTGGGGAATTGGGGGAGGAGACCAGCCAAATTGTTGTTCTTCAATCTTAGTTGTGGAGGGAGCCAGTCACCATCTGGCTGCCCATCAGCAGCTCGTGGCCTCTAAGCTCAAGGTGCTGTATTACAATCTTAGTTGTGGATGGGCGTAGCCATCATCCCATGTGGGAGTCAAAC